CGTTCAGGGAATGCCTTTTATTGATTTTTTTACTTTTCCTGCACTGTTGCAACTTCCAGTGAGTCCAGATTTGAGTGGGAATAAAATTGATCAAAGTTTGTGGGGGAGGGAGGGGCTTGTCATAACACTTTTCTATGTATTTGAACTTAGTCTAGATGGTGGTTGGAGTTTGCCAGAGTCCTTAGGCTAGCTCCAGTATGCCCTAATTTACAGAAAGAACTATTTCAGCTGAAACTGCTGCAGTCTCACAGCAGTCAGAAGTGATGATCATGATCATCTAATCTTACCTCCTGCACATTTTAGGCCATTTAACAACAGCCATATACCCATCCTCTCATAAAATAGACCCTGGGCTGAGCCAAGTCCAAATACTATAATATACGCTGAATATTTTCCTCAGACTTAACATGTTATTCCTATTCCTATTTTTATTTTTATTACATTTTACTGAATAGTTTAAAATGGTAAAGAACTTTTCCTCATCACCAGTTTTTAATCATTGCTTAATATGAAAAAATACTGAAATAAAACATTTTGAAGCTAAGGTAATATGCATTTTAGCAATTAAAGCAACACTGACATCTAGTGGTAATTTAAATCAGTGTTTCTCAACCAGTGCTATGAGTACCCCTAAGGAGTACTCGAAAGAAGTCTGGGTGGTACGTCAACACAACTGAAATTTGGAGAAAACTTAAGTTATACTGTGTTTTATTATTTGTTTACTTTTTACACCCAAAAATGTCATCGCCCACCTGGCTACAATTAAGTCATTTAATCAAATGTGCTGCAATGGTAGAAAAAATTGTGTGTCTGAAAACTGTAGGTACTGGGAGTACTTTTTTGTTTTTAAAGGGGTACTTTATAAAAAAAGGTTGAGAAACCCCAGTGATGAGTGTTACAAAGTTCAAAATTTCAATGCACAGAAATTTCAAAGGCTTTTCCCTTCAGTGATCAATAGTCAGAGTCTTATTCACAATGGTTGAGGTTACTGTATTTTGAAGTGCTGATGGGAAAAACAGAGATGTAACACCACCTGCTTAATAGTCCACCGGATGAATTAGAACAGGATAGGAGGAAAACCATAGCAAACTGAAAATCCTATGTTTAGAATGTGACGGGGAAGACGGGTAGGCAATAATACAGAAAAGAAGTTCAACCAACCTTTTTGTATTCATAGAATCATTCCTTGTTTCTGAAAAGTGTTTCCATGTCAATGTAGGTTCAAGACATTTTTCTAAAGCACTTTGGGATCCTCTTGCAAAAATAAGCTTAATATTTTTAAAAAACACTTTAATTCATTCAGAAACGAGTTGCTCCCTACTGCAAGCCTACTCACAGATGTTAACCTCTCTTCCTTCCCTTGTGTAAACACGTATGTCTGTATTCCCCCTTGCTGAAAATATCTATGCTCCCACTTGACTTTTCTGGCTCCCAGACAGTGATGTTCTAGGAGGTCAACATTTACAGTTTACAGGAATCCATTTTTAATAATCAACATCTTGTTCCTGCCATTGGATCCATGCAAATATACCCATGCCAGGAGCCCACTGAAATTAATGGGAACTCCATGTGGTTGCAAAGACTGTGCAATGGATGTGATTATAGAACAGGGGCTTGGAAAAGAGAAGTTAGAACTACGGATGTTAAAATGCATTTAAGTAATCGTGTAATCGCTGAAAATTGCAGTGGTTACATAGTTACATTCAGGAGACAGGCAGCTCCACACACACAGCTACCTCTGATACAGAGGCAGCAGTGCTGGGGACAGAGGAGGAGGTGTCTCCATGAGAGCTGGTACACGTAGGGAATTGGCTTAAAAACTCATTTCCACAACCCCACCAAAGTGTATATATATATATAACTTTTATATTTTGAAAGATAAAATTTCTCTTCCTCATTTTTAGAAGATCTTTGAGCAACTGTGTAAATTTTAGTTCTATGCTAAGGTTCTGTGATCCAGATTTCTGACTAATGCTCATTCTAATCCAAGGATAATACATTTAAGATAAAAATTCAGACAAAAGCTTTACCAGAGAAATGCATGACATATTTTAAGGCATCCCCCTGAAAGTGCTCCTACATATTAACTTAAACTGATGTGCTTTCTTCACCAGAAAGAAAATGCTAAAAACTAACACCATTAGATTTTATTTGCAAGACTTTTTCATTCAAGAACTTTTATCACTTAGTCTTAAATTTTACCTACAAAAAGGCAGCTTTTACATACATTATTCACTACATATGTACCATAAATTAGCACATATAACCCGTGCACGAGTATTACCTGCACCTGTGTATAACCTACGGTTTTCCCTGATTAAGTAACAAAAAGTCTTGTATACCCCGCGCACGTGTATAACCTGCAGAAGATGAACCGTGGGTAATGTTAATGCAAAGCACCTGTAATCAAGTGTTAATGAGCTGCAGCTGATAAAGCTGAGAACTAAGTAGGCTACAACCCTTATCGCTGGTATAGAACCCCTTTGAATCATACTGCTTTTCCATTCATTTATTCCTTCAGTGGTTTTAACTTGTATTTTAAACTCCTTAAACTTTTTAAACATGCCTAAGCGCTAATCCTACACAGACTGAGGAGGATGCTGCTGGCGCTGATTCTAGGGATCAGAGTGAATGAGAATGCGAAGACAGCTTTTTTTTTAATTGTTTTTATTCTTTTACTAGTTGCAGAGTAAACTAATGAATTTTAATGTATTTTAATAAATTTTAATATAATTGCCTCTATTATTAAATTAAAATATGCTGCTTTTCTCAAGTAAGAGACAGTCTTGTCTTCCTTTCACTAAACCTTCCCCCCCCCCAAAAAACCTGTATTACACGTGGACGAGTATATCCCACGGGGGGTGGGAGAGGGATGTAAAACTTTGCATATCCCACCTGTGATATTTGCTAAAGTATGGTAATTCAAAATGAAAATTCCACTTGGTGATCATCATATATGCCATGAGTGACATCCTTGAATTTCAACCATTTCTTCAGAAAATGCATAAAGAGTAAACAAATGTATTCTGAGAATTTGTCTACATGGTGTGCCTAGTCCCTACTCAAAGGTTATAAATTCCAGTGTGCACTAGCATATTGTGCACTTATCTGGACCAGGTGTACTCTTTTAGTGTGCACTAAAAGTTTAAAAAACACTACAACATTAATGTGAACTATAGAACTTTTAGTGCATAACACAAGGGTCCACCTGAGTCAGTTAGTACGTATTACAATTATATATATATATATACACACACACACACACACACACACACACACACACACACACACACAAATGCACTATGTAAATGCACTCTCCACACCCACGGAGAGGCAGGATAAGGGACATCCTGAAGGTAAGGTGGTGGGCTCGGTTCTGGCATGGCCTAGGGATAGGCTGTGCGCCTGGGGAGGGTAGGGTGGTGGGCTCAAGCCTCCCCCCTCCCCAGAGAGGCAGGATAAGGGACACCCTGAAGGTAATGTGGTGGGGTGGATGCTGGCATGGCTAACAAAATAAAATGGATTATAAAAACATGCTGGTTGCCAGATGGTTTCAACAAAAATACCAGACACACTTGACATTACATCCCAATCTACATTACATTTTATTTAGAAAATAACGGACATATATATTTTCTCAATTTGTTTCCAGAACAGAAAGCTCAAATATTGGACTTTGTCCGGTTCAAAACTGGATACCTGGCAACCCTGTGTTCAGTAGAAAGCTAATAAAATGTTGTACACACATATGCGAAAAGTATACAATATATATTATGTACACATACCTTTCCAAGCTCTTCAGCCTGTTTTAAAATATTGCGCTCTAAATCTTCTGCTCTTTTTGAATGAAAAGAATTACTTTGACTCTGGATGACAAATACAACTTCCTGTAATTCTGTGAATATGAAAATAAAAATACGTAAAGAAAACAGAAATAAATGTAAGTTCAGTATAATTCCTAATGAGAACTTTGAGTGAGGAAAAGAAAATCATAACTGTTATTTAATTAATAGTAAAAATGCATAAACATAAAGACCCAGTTTTGACTGTATGTATGAAAGCAGAACTCTAAATTTACATTTACAGTATTGCCAACTTCAAGAAATCACAAATCATAAGACTAGTCTCTCCCCGAATCATGAGATTTTAAAACCCATCAAATCATGGGGTTTAGTCTGTCTTATATTAAGCACATAAGCAATAAAATCATAGTAAAAATATGGAATTGGTTTAGCCTTTTGCAAGAAGTAACACCTTCCTAGCCCCCTGCGACTGCCCTGAGACTAACACTCACTGAACCCCACCACACAGGCTCTTCTTTGCCCACTGCTATGCCAGACCCTCGTCCCCTCTCCTCACCACCGTTCCTTCCCTTCTGTGCTCTCCTTTCTCCTGCACCACCTAATTCTACAACCTGCTCCCCCTCATTCTACCTTGCTATCTTACTTTCACCATGCCCATGCTGCTCCTCACAGTCCCTGTGTCCTGACTAGACTACTGAACCAATGTGGCAGCCATCATGCTGGAGGATATGGCTTCAGTCTCACTGAAAACAATGGGAGATGGCAGCCTCACTTCACCTTGCAGACTGCTATTTCCCTGCAGTCTTCCATCTTGAGGTCTTCAGTTCCATTGGTAGTTAGAGTAGGGTTGCCAGATGATTTCAACAAAAATACCGGACACACTTGACATTACATCACAATTTATATTACATCTTATTCAGAAAATACTGGACATTTATATTTTCTCAATTTGCTTCCCGAACAGAAAGCTCAAATACTGGACTTTGTCCGGTTCAAAACTGGACACCTGGCAACCCTAAATGAGAGATGGTGGCCATTTTGAATGGCAACCTTTCATCTTGTTTTCATGAGACAAATTAAACACACCTCCAAAATTAATAAAAATTACAAGAAAATGTAATACTTATATTACATCAGGCCCAGGCAGTTTTGTCCGTAGGCCTGAAGCCACAGCAATGCCGAACAGTTTTACAACACTGTTGGTGCAACACTGACACAGGGAAAAAGAAGTGGGTGCTTACTACTCCCTGGTAGCCAATTTCACCTCTCCACTTCCATCTCCTCTCCATGCCTTTTGCCTAAGGGTGGCACTACTGACCATTTCCTCCCCACCCTCCAGGCAAGTCCAGACTGACTTGAATAATTGATCTGCAGCATTCAGGAAGCTCCAGAAGAGTGGGTAAGGAGTGGGGATGGGGCACACTTAGGGGAGGGAGTGGGAAAAAGGCAGGGCAAGGGCTTGGGAGAAGGGGTGGAGTGGGAGCAGGGTGGGGTTACAGCAGGATGAGACTTGAAGGAAGGGGAAGAATGAGGCGGGGTGGGGGTAGAGCAGGGGCAGACCCTGGGGAAGGGGTACAATGGGGCAGGGCCTGGGGTAGAGGCAGAGCACCCTTCTGGTTAGAGGGAAAGTCAGCACCTGTGACCACAAGGAATGCTATATGTACAACTACCACCTAGATAGTACCTACAGGGTTGTCCTTCTGTTGGAGGGGGTATGAACTCTAATTTTGATATTCTGCAAGACTAGCTTATTCTTAACTTACTTTAGAAAAAGAAAAATACTTTTATATTACATTATCAAGACAACCTAGCTGACTATGGTGACATTTTCAAGTCCTTCAGGATAAACTTCAAGTCTCAGAACAGGCGAAATCTACTGCCCCGCCCCTTCCTTGAAGCCCCGCCTATATTACATGAGGAAATCTAATGTAAATGTACTGCGCAGGTGCGCAGTTCAGAGAGGGCTCAAGAGCTACTCTTAGAGCCCCTGAGATCTACCGGTAGATCGCGATCTACTGGTTGGTGACCACGGTTCTAGATACTGTCTACTTGAAAAGTATCTGTAGTGAAAGCTTATGAACACAAATTATTTGCCATCTAAAAGAATACATTTTCACGGTGGAGATTTATACCACTTACATTGATGTTAATGGGAGTCACAAGGCTAAATCTGTATTTATACTTTGGAAAATATATCCCTAGAGACAAATAATGAAAATTAGATAGTTTTATATAATTGTTGATTTAGAAGTGCATTTACAGATATGGCAGCATCTGAACTACAGACAGTTTCCAATTTGCTGCTAAATGTACCATAGTGAATGTACTGGAGAAGAACACTCCGTAGGATGAATCCAATACTCCTTTTGCTGTTTGTGCACTGGAAACTAGAGACGTAAAATCCTGTGTAATTGGCTAATCAGTTAAACATATTGTTGGTAAGAAAATTATCTTTCACACAGCAACTTAATAATATCATATTATGAAAACCTTACATAAGCCAAGTGTTGCTTGAGATGTAATGACTCACTTGTCAAAATAATAACTATTTTACTGCGATTATCTATATTGCCAATCAAGAATGGGGCATCACTGTGCAAGGTACCGTTCACTCCTGACAAAAAAAGGCAGGAGTATTCCAAAGAGTTTGTAGTCCAACTAGGATTTCATTACTGTAAAACTTTACTATAGCTAGCATTGTCCTTAGAATGTTCAGTGCAATGCCCCCAGGCACTGCCTTGCCAGAACTGACCAATCAACCTAGTAGTTTGATATTCTTTCTTGAACAGCTGTCAATACTTGTGTTTCAGAGAATGATGTAAAGACATTAAAATATTCTGTGCAAAATAAAATACAAGGGTTAAATATCTTCCTGAAGTTAAAACAGGAAAAGAACACATTAAAATCACTTAGAAAAGTTAGATGTCTTCAAGTCACCAAGGCCTGATGAAATGCTTCCTAGAATACTCAAGGAACATATTGAGGTAGTATCTGAACCATTAACAATCATCTTTGGAATGTCATGGAAGACTGGAGAGATACCAGAAGACTGGAAAAGGGCAAATATAGTGTCCATCTACAAAAAGGGAAATAAGGACAATCGAGGGAAATATAGACCAGTGAGTTTAACTTCTCTACCAGAAAAGGTAATGGAGTAAATAATTAAGGAATCCATCTGCAAACATCTGGAAAATAATAAGGTGATAAATAACAGTTAGCATAGATTTGTCAAGAACAAAGCATGTTGAACCAATTGGATAGCTTTCTTTGATAGGAATAACAAGCCTTGTGGATAAGAATGAAGCAGTAGACGTGGTATATCTAGACTTTATTAAAGCATTTGCTAGTCTCGCATGACCTTCTGATCAATACACAAGGGAAATACAACATAAATGGAGCCACTATAAAGGTGGGTGTATCACTGATTGGATAACCATTCCTACAGAGAAATTATTAATGGTTCACTGTCATGCTGGAAAGGCATAACAAGTGGTGTTCCACAGGGGTCAGTTTTGGGACTGGTTCTGTTCAATATCTTCATCAACAATTTAAATATTGGCATAAAGAGTACACTTTTAAAGTTTGCAGGTGATACCAACCTGCAAGTGCTTTGGAGGATAGGATCATAATTCAAAATGATCTGGACAAACTGGAGAAATGGTCTGAGGTAAATAGGATTAAGTTCAATCAGGACAAATGCAAAGTACTCCACTTAGAGAGGAACAATCAGTTCCACACATGCAATATGGGAAGTGACTGTGTAGAAAGGAATACTACAGAAAGGGATTTATGGGTAATAGTGGACCAAAAGCTAAATATGAATCAACAGCGTAACACTGTAAAAAAAAAAAAAAAAAAAAAAAGAAAACATTCTGGGATGCATTAATAGGAATGTTGTGAGCAAGACACGAAAAATAATTTCCCCCCTCTACTCCACACTGACCAGGAATGTGGTGTGTTACCTGTTCTGGATGGGGTTGTGCTCCCTTTGAAAGAACAGGAGTGCAGGTTGGGAGTCCTCCTAGACTCTTTTCTAGCTTTTGAGAATCAGATTTCTTCTGTGTCCAGGCGTGCTTTCGGGCAGCTTTGACTGATTTGCCAGCTGCAACTCTTCCTGAGTAAGAATGACCTGAACATGGTGATTCATGCTCTTGTCACATCCCGACTGAATGACTGCAATGCAGTCCACATGGGGCTGCTTTGAAGAGTCTCTGGAAACTTCAACTAGTCCAGAATGTGGCTGCTCGAGTTTTAATTAATACTAGCTATATGGAGCATATTATGCCAGTGCCCCAGCAGTTGCACTGGCTCCCAGTATGCTTCCGGACATAATTCAAGGGCCTGGTTATGACCTATAAAGTCCTAAATGGTTTGGGACTGGGATATTTGAAAGACTGTCTTCTCCTGTATAAACCTACCCAGGATTAAGATAATCTGGGGAGACTCTGCTCCATGTTCCTCCACTTATGTAGATAAGGCTGACATTTACATGGAGAAGAGCCTCCTCAGTTTTTGCTCCCAGGCTATGAAACACCCTCCCTCAGGACATTCACCTGGCACCAATGCTGGCATTGTGAGCAATGCACCTTTTTTAACCATACTTTTATTGGTGCTTGAGAGAGAGAGAGAGAGAAAGAGAGAGAGAGTGTGTGTGCCCTCCTCTTGGTGTGTCTTAGTACGTTTAATATCCCCCTCTTGGGGTCTTTTATTGTATTCTACTTTTTTTACATATTGTGGTTTAAATTTTTGTAAGCTATATCGAATATTTTAAATAGGGAGGAAGGGTAAAAAATATTTTGAGAAGAAAAAAGAAAAGAATTGGGTTTGTTTAGTTTGGAAAAGAGAAGACTGAGAAGGAACATGATAGCAGCTTTTTTCAAGTATCTAAAAGGGTGCTAAAAAGAGGAGGCCAAAAAAATTATTCTCCTGAACCTCTGATGATAGGACAGGAAGCAATGGACTTAAATTTCAACAAGGGAGGTTTAGGTTGGACATTAGGAAAAGCTTCCTGTCAGGGTCATTAAGCACGAGAATAAATTGTCTAGGGAGATTGTGAATATATTTAAGAACAGGTTAGACAGACATCTGTCAG